AAAAGAAGTGGTGAGAATAATTTCCCTACGGGGAAACAGGTACCTATGGGACTTGGTAAAACTGGAGAAATCAGATAAATGTGCTCTGAATTCTGTCTGTTGTTGATGAATGCTGGAAGCAAGCTCTAATAAATCAACCTACTCTGAATCCTGAATTTAACTTAGTTTTAAGGCTTCAAGTTTTATGAGTTGTTTTTATTTTCCTGAAAATCTGCTTGTGCTCCTGAAAAAGTAATTTTTGCCATTTTTTTCTCTTCACTAGAAACATTGGACACTTTGGAGAATTGGGTGACAGAAATTTTTTCACAGATTCCAAATAAGTGAGATTCTTTCCTGATTTCTCTTATATCTCATAAATTGCGAAACAATATTTTAAACACGTAGAATTTCACGCAGTCGCTTTTCCTTGTAGCTACGGAGGCTTTAGTTCTTGTTGCTATCCCAATCAAAGAAACTACTTTTATTGACTAAATGAAGAGATATTCATCTTTGGATGTTAATAAATTCATAAAATATTTCTTTAAAATGTATTTGATAGCAGTTCGTATGTTCCACGGTATGGATTTTGACTTTACATGTAGATCACTTGTAACAAAGTAACACTTGTGTTACATCAAAGTAACACTTATGTTACTTTTTTTAGTTGCTGCAAAGAGAATTATATTTTAGTTTTTAAAAATGTTAATTTGTATACCTCCCCTTTCTGTAAAAGGTAATTAGGATCAAAATATAGCTGAGTTGGCAGCTTGTTGTGGCTGTTAGAGATGAACTGGCCTTGCGTTTTTATGCTAATTCAATATTAAACTATGCATTGTAATGTGCTATTTAGAAAAGACATTCCCTTCTGTATCTTGAAATGATGATATGGGTAAGTCGTATCTATTTGATTTTAAATATAGCTTCGCAGAAATGACGTCTACTATTTTGGCGCCAAGTAAAATTACCTTATTCCCTTAACTCGGAGAGCTACTTTTTGATATGAGTTTTCCCTGCTATCCTATGCCACTGTTGTTGGTTATAGATTGAAAGACAGTTTTTGCATGTGTTCACACATGCTTGTTTATAAGACAATACTTACTGAAGATGAGACTAAGTAAACAAAAATGCAGCATATTGGCATCCATGTTGAAAATAAAGGAAAACAAATCCCAAGCCTAGCATGGACTCAGATGTGTGTAAATGAGTGTTCTGAGAAAGATCAATGGATCATAGGAAACAGGACTGAAAGGGACTGTCAGGAGTTGCCTAGTTCATCCCTCTGTCCTCAGACAAGATCACCTATATCTCGTGTGAACCTTTGTGTGAATTTTAATGATGCTTAACTCCTTAATTTTGATTCACTGCTTTTTCTATGGATTGATTTTGTGGCAAATGCAAGTTTATTGTATGATTTACTTTCTCTTTGAAAAGTCAGTCCTCATGTGAATCTGTTTGGTTCTAATATGCTGACAATGCTAGAAGTTGGTAGGTAGTCCAGTGTATCAGAATTGCTGGCCTTAAAGAATAACAGGATGATGGTACAGATGAATCCTCCTCATAAGGTATTTCAGTAAATAAATTAAGAAAGTAAATATTGCTTATTTATATCGTGTTTTCTTATTGCGGAATTATGGCTTCAACTTGCACAAAATATTAATTGCTCTTATTTAAGAATAGATGTGTGTAATTTCTCACTTTAAAATTGTACAGAGGTATTTACAAAGGCTAACTGTAACATGTGGGAGCTTGTTTCTGTTGGTTTCTTCTGAGGGAAAGTTTGGCATGTCTTGCCTGAAGTTAGCCTATGTGAATTTGTCCCCTAACTAGTTCCCACAAAATATAGGTGTTGCATAAGAAAGAGATGTCTTACATCAATGCATGTTTCAAGCTTTTTAGTCAGAAATTAGCCAAGTACTTTATTCGATTAATGTATTTCTGTGGAAGTTGATTTTGTTCAAACAAATATGCCTAGCTGTTTGAAGCTTCCCCATTGTGGCAGGGAGCAAAGGTGTTTGTTTAACCTTTAGCCCGTGACCTTCTATAGTGGAGGGATATGTCTACAAGATGACTGTATGTCTGTGGAAGTAATCAAAGGAATATTGAATGTTTTTACCTCTTTAATCAGAATGTCCAGGTTCTGGTTTGGGTCATGTCCTAGTTCTATCAAGATGCTACTTCAGAACTGGGCTACTAAGCAGCTGCTGCTTGCAGCCATGTGGCCGCTGAGTTCAGTAAACGTTGTGCTAATTTTTTTGTTTTATTTTTGAAGTGGTTTACCAAAACCAAGATTCGGTCATCTGACAGAGCCTTTTGACACGCCAGAGTTTCACAAGCTTTACAGAGGTAAGAGACCTGGGGTGGTGTTAATATACCAGAAACTTTTTAGTTTTACGTTTAGAGACATGTTTGTACAACACTGAGTCAACCTCATGTTCTCTGTTATGCTTTGACATTGAGCTGAACTGATTATTTCTTTTTAACATTTTTAACCTTTGTGTTTTTGCCATACCTTTTAATCATTTTTACATTTTCTTTTTTCTAGTGCTTTCCTTTTCCCCTATAAACCTCTAGCTCTTTCAACATCTTTGGTTCAGATATTTGATTCTTTGTTTTTCTTTTGTCCTATAAAGAAGGAAACTGATATAGTAGATGAGGAAATCTAAAAAAAGGCTTGATTAGTTAAAAAAGTAGAGGCCTCTGGCATATTATCTTTCCTTACAGTAAATTGCCAGGCCTTACTTGTCCCCTGCATGCATCACATTTTCCCATGTCCACAGCCTTTAGAAGACTTCTTTCAAAAAATATATATGTATATTGCCTTCCCCCTCTGTACACACTTGCACCTTCAAACAGTCTTTGATTTGGTGGATGCAGACCATCCATTGCCTCTGCAATCCTTATTTGTAAGGATTATGTAATTTTCATAGATCCCTAGCAATAGGCAGGCAAAGCCTCCGTTTTCAAAGAGAGCCCTTGCAGATAACGTTTTGTGTACCAGTCATGTGCTGAATTCATTCAGGGTTGCCATAGGAACCTTTTTTCTTCTTTAATCAGAAAAAATCTGCTTTATCTGTAAACATACCCTTTCACAAGAGCCATCCTCCACTTTTGTTCAGGGATCTCATAGCTATTAGGAGCAATAGATAAGTAGGCCCTCAGATTAGCAGCCCGATAGGCTGTCTTGTGCATCCTGGCTCACAAACACTCT